TGGCTGTTCTCGGCCATCTGGTTCTCAGAGCACACCCTGTTTCCCATACCTCCTGCCTGCACGCATGGTTCCACAGGCCTCCCTCCTGTGCTCCTCCCACCCCTTTCAAGGCTCACCTCCCTCCTGTCCCTCAGATCTCCCAGAAGATGTCGCCTTCTCTGGAAATTCTTCCCTGAGAGCCACAATGGCATGGACCCCATCACAACACCCATCACACTACTTTGAAATTACCTTCCTTGTCTCCACCAGACCTTGAGCTTCTTGTACGAGCTGGAGAAGTTCAGTGTGGGAGTGGCAGAGAGGACCAGTTTTGTTTCATTTTATCTTCCTTTTAACTCTAAGGGATGAGCACAATCCTTAGAGTGATATTTAGCCAGAATAAAAAGTGGGAAAAGAAGAAGAAAATGATTAACAGAGGTAGTTTGGTATAATAGAAAAAGCACTGTGCTTTTTTTAAAAAAAGTTTTTATTGAATCAAAATTGATTGTACATTTTTTGGGTTCAACATTGAGATATGTTGATCAAATCAATATTACTAGCATATATATAGTTATAAATCATAATTATTCTTTATGCCCCTTGTCCAATCTCTCTCCTTCCTCCTTTCCCTCCCCACTGCCCATCACCCTAGATTTCCTCTCTCCTTCTGAAAGAACAGTGGTTTCTCTGTTGATTTGTTGCCTAGATCTGTCCAATGCTGAGAGGTGTGATCAGGTCCCCCAATATTATCATAGAGCAGATGCTTCCTCTGTCGCTCTGGAATGGGCTTTGTGGAGAGAGACGTCCTCTTCTTTTCTTTATCTCTGTTGGTGACTCTCCTTGTGTCAATGCCCTCCAGCGGCTGATGGACCATCTGTGTGGCGGTTGTGATGTCTAGCCACTTTTGCAGCAGCCATGGTTATCGTGGTGGCTGTGGTGGGCCACCCACATGGAAGTGATGTTTTTGGCATGCTCCTTTGTGCTGGTGGTGTGCCTGGTTGTGGGGAGTGTCTGGTCCCCAACTGCATGCCTTGGGTCCCCGGGCGGGCCCCAAAGTGCTGACGTGGTGTGCCTGGTTGTGGGAGGCGAGTACAGTCCTAAGCACTGTGCTTTAAAAAATTTTTTTCTATGGGGGGTTGTTTTAGTCCGTTTTGTGCTGCTATGACAGAAATACCTGAGACTGGGTAATTTATAAGGAAAAGAGGTTTATTTGGCTTACGATTCTGGGACAGCTGCATCTGGCATGGGCCTCAGGCTGCTTCTACTCATGGTGGAAAGTGGCAGGGAGCCGGCAGGTACAAGCAGATCACATGGCGAGAGGAAGCAAGAGAGAGGGAGAAGGTGCCAGGGTCTTTTTAAGCAACGAGCTCTCGAGGGAACTAATAGAGCGAGAACTCACTCATTAATCCCCCCTCCCCCAGGGAGAGCATTAATCCATTCATGAGGGATCCGCCCCCATGACTCGATCAGTTTCGAATACTGCCACATTGGAGATCAAATTTCCACATGAGTTTTGGAGGGGACAACACATCCGAACTCCATCATTCCGCCCCTGGCCCCTCAAAACCCATGTCACTCTCACATACAAAAAACAGTCATTCTATCCCAACAGTCCCAAAAGTCTTAGCTTGCTCCAGCACCAACTTAAAAGTCCAAAGTCCAAAGTCTCATCTGAGACCAAAAGCAAAAGTCCTTCCAGCTGTGAACCTGAAAAATAAAACCAAATTTATCTACTGCCAAGATACAATGGTGGAACAGGCATTGGGTACACATTCCCATTCCAAAAGGGAGGAATAGGCCAAAAGAAAGGAAAAACAGGTCCCAAACAAGTCCGAAACCCAGCAGGGCAGACATTATGTCTTAAAGATCCAAAATACTGTTCTTTGACTCCAAGTCCTGCATCCTGGGCCCACCTGGGCATCTGGACCCCCAAAGCATCAGGCAGCCTTGTTCCCACAGCTCTGCCAGGCAAAGCCCAGTGGGTCACACTGGTGCCTGTGGCTTTTCCAGGCCTGCATTGCCCATTACCAGTGGCCCTGAAGTTCTGGGGTACTGGTGGCAGCCCTGCTGCATTGGCTGTACTAGACATTTCCCTGGTGGGGGCTCTGACCCCGCTTTCTTGCTTGGCATTGGTCTAGTAGATGTCCTCTGCAGTGGCTCCAGCCCTGTGGCAGGTCTCTGCTTGGGCCCCTAGGCTTTTCCAGACATCCTCTGGAATCTCCGTGGGTAGTGCCACACCTCCACTGCTCTCACATCCTGCCAGCCCGCAGACTTAACACAATGTGGATGCCACCAAGGTTTTGGGCCTCTACTCTCCAGGGCTGCTGCATGAACCACACTTGGGGCCGCTCTAGCCAGATCAGCTGGGATGCAGGGAGCAGGATCCCAAGGGCAGCTGTGCCCCAGGTCTGTCCTCCAGGATAATTCAGTCCTTCTAGGCCTCAGGGTCTATGATGGGTGGGGCACCCTTCCAGGCTTCTGAAATGCCTGCAGGGCTTTCCTCTCATTTTCTCACTATTAGCATCTGGCTGCCTCACCACCAATATAATATCTTTAGCAATCAGTTTATCTGCTTCACCCTTGCATTGTTCTCCAGCTTTCTGCTTCTTTACCACATGGCCAGGCTGCAAATTTTCCAAATCTTTATGCTCTGATTCCCTTTTAAATTCTGGCTTTACCTCATGATTTTGCAGCTGTAACTCAGAGTAGGCTCTTAAAAGCAACCATGCAGCTTCCTTAATGCTTTGCTGCTTAGAAATTTCTTTGGCCAGATGCTCTGGTTCACAACTCTTAAGTTCCAACTTCCACAAAGTCCAAGGGCATGGACACAATGCAGCAAGGTTCCTTGCTAGCAAGGGTAATCTTTTGTCCAATTCCCAATAAGTTCCTCATTTCGATCTGAGACATCATCTGCATGGCCTTTACTGTCCACATTTCTATCAGCATTCTGCCCGCCACCACGTAAGTCTCTAAGACATTCCAAACTTTCCCTCATCTTTTTCTCTTCTTCTAAGTCCTCCAAACTCCTCCAACCTTTGCCCATTATCCAGTTTCAAAGCTTCATCCATGTTTGCAGGTATCTGTATAGCAATACCCCACTCCTTGGTACCAACTTTCTGTTTTAGTCCGTTTTGTGTTGCTATAACAGAATACCTGAGACTGGGTAATTTATAAGGA